TGTTGAATTTTGTAGGATGAAGATGAATTGATAAAAATACACTCATTAATTCTACCAGATAATTTGTTTTCATGTCCAATACCAACTTTGACAAGTGATTGCGTAAATGCATTCAACTCATAAGATGGTCTTGAACAACTGATCGGCGGGCTATCACTGACTACCATAGATTTGTTAAGCCTAGGACTTTTACGCGGAGTCTTTTCCATAGAACAATGGTAACAATTTTGGTTAATTGGATTGTCAAATGATTCGGTGAAGAAGATTAAAGGTTTAAGAAAAATGGAAGAAGAATATGGAGAATAAAATGCAAGAGTTTTCCCTTTTGAATGCTGGAAAAAAATATTTTCAAGATTTCTTGGAACTATAACTCAACATTGATAAGTACACCAACTTTTTAGGTAAAATAAAAAGCTTATAAAAAAGGAATAAAATAATTATGATCCTAAAAAGGTCCAATAAGCGTAAAAAGGGGAAATAACAAAATTAATGAAACATGTGTATTTGAATATGTATTAGGAGAGATAATATTTGATAAAATTTAATACCCTAATTATACTCCACATAAAAAGGCAATTAATACTAATTGTATGAGAGATAAAAATCGGTTAAAACAAAATTCAATTAAATAAAAAAATTAAATGTTTTGTTATGTATGTAATTTAAAAACTTAGTTTGTAATTAAATATAAGTATATTGATATTTTGTTAATAAAAGTCTTAAGTAGTATACTTTTGTAATTTTTCCTATTTATTTTAATGAATAAAAATCAATTAAAAGTAATATTAAAGAGAGAAAATATTGATTCATATAATTATTTTATTGATTTCATCTCCAAAGAAAAAAACAACTTTTTTGTATTTGTTATTTTTCTCATTATTTCAAATAATACCCTTGTAACGGCCTGAGGCTCCCCCCTTGACGTAAACACGGGACTTAGGATCATGAGTGACCCAAAGCTAACCCTGAACTGGCATAACAATAGCATACTAGATAAACTGAAGTAAGAATTTCTATGCGGAAACTTAAATCATGAATTAAACTAAAATGATGGGGGATACCCAATCTACGTCTGAATATATAAACTGTAGTAAGAGTTCAATAACAACTCAAAGATAAAAACTCAAATCTAAAACATAATGTAACTATGTCTGAAATAAGTTTCTAACTGACTAGAGATGCTGGGACATGCCCCCAGCAAACTCTAGCAAAACTGAAGCCAAAAGAAAAGACTTAGTAGAAAACATGTCAATCGTCCTCAAAGAATGAGGACTCACCACTGATACTACTGAACTGGAGATTGGGAATCGATCTATGCGTGATCTGAATGCTAAGGACCTAATCCTACATTACTAGAAGATGTAACGCAGATTATGGGCCAAGACTTGAAAGGTACTGAGCATGCATGATAGAATAAAGCTGAATAATATATACATAACTAAAATAAATCATGCTGAGCAATGATATCATATGAATATACTAAACATACTGAAAATGAACTAAACTGAATGCAATGACCAAGTACATAACATGCTGAACTGAATACTGAAATATAACTGGTAACCTGGTCAATGCACTACAATCTTAGTGTGGAAGCTACTCATAATCCACGTGAGCTACACGTGGAGTCCGATGTATATGCCCCATCGAGAGGACCCAATATACCTTGTCAAGGGTACAAAGGCATGACTGGCGTGGTCACTAAATATGATGCCCACAGAGGGGACTTAACCTATGGGGGCACGTAGTTTTGGGACTATGAGGGTGGCTGACCTAAGTCCATTTGGTATTAAGCCTACTCCCAACTTGAATGTATACGATACAACATAACTGAATATAAACTAGATAGATCAAGATTCTGACATGCTAACTAAAATGAACATTAAGTACTAATAATTAAACATTTGTAAACTGATGCATGTATATCCGTATAAACTGACCTAACAAGTTTAATTCATGAACTAAGAGAATTTACACAACTAGAATTCTAAATTTTATGCAGGAATTAAGCAACATAGCTATGAAACCGTTATAATCTAATTAGGATTTATCTAACAGCTAAATCACAGCAATAATCTGAAGTTCTAGAAACCCTAGGTCTAAGCATAATGAAGGAATTCAAGAATCTGACTGATTCTAGGGACCTAATGGGCGAAAGGAATCCACTAGTCAAATTCCACCTACTTGGTGACGAATTCCACAGAGAAATCTTTCAATTTTGGGGTTGGAACTGAGGGACACTTGTTGCGTTCTGGGAGAGGGTTTGGTCGACTGTTTGTTCTCTTTTTTCCTTGGTTTGATCGATATTTGGGAGAATGAATTGGTTAGGGTAAGTTCTGATTAAGTGACTAGACTCAAACTGAACAAAACAATGTAGTTTAGACATTAAACGACGTAGTTTAGTTGTCCAACGCATAGAGAAAAGACCAAATGACCCTGACTTAAAAGTTGTTGGGGCCAATCGATGGAGCATCGGCTGATCTACGGTCCATCCTGGTTAGTCTTTGACTGGCTACAAAGGATGAGTGTTAGGCCCCCAGGCTAACCTCTGGACGCGGACACGGGACCTAGGATTTCGAGTGACCCCAGGCTAACCCTGTTGGCATATTATAAGCATTCTTAAGAAGAACTGAATTAAGAAAGTATTGTGCAGAAGCTTAAATCATGAGATTAACTGAAATGATGAGGAATAAACAATACTATCTAAATTTATATAAAACTGAGAAGAGTTTAAGATACTGAATAAAACTCAAACACTAAAGTTGAATCTGTAAGCCTTTAATTGACTAGAAATAATGGGACATGCCCAGCTAAATCTAGAAAAAACTGAAACTAAAGATTTAAAATAGAAGGATAATCATGTCAATCATCCTCAAAAAATGAGGACTCACCACAAATGGTGCTGAGCTAAAGATCGGAAATTGATCTATGCGTGATCTGAATGCTCAGGACCTGAACCTACATCACGAGAAAAAGTAGCGCAGAGTATGCGTCAATACTTGAAAGGTAATGAGCATGAAGGATAGAGCAAAGCTGAACAATATACATAAGTGAACAAAGCATATAACTGAGAAATGATATAAGATGAGCATGATATATACTAAAAAATATTGAACATGAACTAACTAAATGCAATGACAAAGTTTATAACATGTTGAGACTAAAATATGACTGTAACTGATAACATGGTGAATGCAATAGAATCTGACTATGGGAGTTGCTAATAACCGACATAAAATCACATGAGCTAAATGTTGAGTTTGATGTATACACCCCATTGAGAGGAACGAATATACCCTGCCAAAGGTATAGGGGCATGACTGGCGTGATCATTAAACTGATGCCCACAGAAGGGCCTTATAACCTACGGGGGCACGTAGTTCTGGGACTTGAGGATGACTAACCCTAGTCCACTCGATATTAATCCTACTCCCAATTGAATATGTAATTAACAAATTATGACTGAATTTCTGTAATACTGGATAGCTCAAAATACTGACATGCTAACTGAAAATGCAAGATTTAATTCCTGATAATGAAATATTTGAAAACTGAGGCACGTACATTTGTTTATTTGTCCTAGCTAATGTAATTCATGAACTAAATGAACTACGTAACTAGGGTTCTGATTTTATGCAAGAATCTACTCAAAACAATACTAAAATCATGACAATCTAATTAGGAACATTAAAGTAACTAATTCATAATAATCTACTGAAATTCTAGAAACCCTAGGTCTAGATAATATGGAGGGAATCAAGAATTAGACTGAATTCTAGGAACCTAATGGGTGAAAGGAACCCACTAGTTAAATACCACATACCTGGTGATAAAATTCACAGAGAAAACTTTCGATTTTGGGGCTGGAACTGTTGAAAACTTTGTTGCGTTATCTTGGAGGGCTGCTCCACTTCTCTTTCTAATTTACCCTAAGTTTCGCTTGATTTTTGTGAATGATTGATTAGGGTAAGTTCTAATCAAGTTACTAGGCTAAAACTGACAAAAAACAACGTAGTTTAGGGGTGAAACGATGTAGTTTAGGGATCCAACACATAAGGAAAAGACCGAACGACCCCTGACTTAAAAGTCTATCGAAGCTACCGACGGTCCGTGGACTTACCCACGGTCCGTCCTATCAACCCTCATTATTGCTTCAGAGACTTGATTTCTCGGACCTCAATCCATGGCCCAGGACTAGCGCTCGTGGTTTGACCTACAATCCATGGGTCTGGCCGTTAGTTGACACTTAGGCAATTTCCAAGGCTGTTCTGGGGAGGGCTTCCACGGACGCCACCACGATCCGTTGTCAGGACCATGGCCCGTGAAGGGTGCCGTGGCATGACGTCTGGTCCTGGTGGACTCTGCTTGCCTTCCACGAGTGCCAGTACAACCCGTGAGGTGGTCCATAGCCCGTGAAAGGTCCCGTGGTCCACCTCTGTTGGAAGGTATTGAGTCCACGGGCAGGTCAACAAACCATGGACCCTATCACGGTCCGTGAACCCTGATGTGGTTCATTGGTTCAAGTGATTTTCCTGTTGCATTTTCTATGTCTAAATTCCGAGGTGTTACAATGACTCCTGAAGGGTCTAAATCACGGACGTGGACCACTACTACAAGAAATTTCATTTTTAACGACCAATTCTTGGTGACAGAATATGAATCCGGTCGTTAACAATATATCTATAACGACAAAATAATTTTTTTGTTGTTAAAAGTTAACTTTTAATTTGATCTCAGCGACCAATAATTTCTGGATGTTAAAAAAGTTAGCATCCGGTTGTTAATTAATAATAAAGAAGGCCCTCTTTAATTATTTTATAAAACAATATCACACGTCTCTCTACATACCCCACCCCTCCCCTCTACATACCCTACTCCTCCCCTCCGTTTGGAACAACAAACAATAGGTTTTAAGTATTATTTTATATATTCCGTGATATTAAATTCCCGCGCGAAGCGCGGGTAATTTTACTAGTTATTTTATAAAACAATATCACACGTCTCTCTACATACCCCACCCCTCCCCTCTACATACCCTACTCCTCCCCTCCGTTTGGAACAACAAACACTAATATTGTCAAATTTATGGGTTTGTTCGCTTTGTAGTTAGAGAAATCAGGGGCACGATCTACACGATCTACAGGTGAATCAGCTCTCCTCTACAGTTAGAGAAAATTCAGCAGCTTGGAGGATATGGTGCATCTCTCTAGTTCTGTTAGAGGTTTGGGGATTCTCGATTTCCATCTTCCCACATTTTATCAGCCGTACGTCTCTCTCAGTTCAAAATAATGAGCTTTAGTTTGTTGGAGGAATATTAGCAAGAAGATAAGATCCAAAGCTTGCGTCAATTACTAGGTTTGTTGAGAAAAAATAGTCGTGGGTTTCTCAGTTCCATCTATTTAGGAAATCATGTATCTCTATTTTTATTGCAGAACACATTCTAAATTGTTGTAAAGAGAATCGTTCTTGTCTTCTTACTTCTAGTCGGATTATGGGTCTGCTGGATGATTGAGTATTCTTCTCTTTGGGGTAAGTTTATGCTATTTTTACTTTGAATTGCTTTGTGGAATTATTAATTTTTCCAAATTATGTAGTTTCCTTGATTTTTCAGTTTCCATTAGGGTTTGTTTTTTTTCGTTTTAACTGAAAAAGTTTTTCTGCTTTATGCACTAGCGTAGTTTAGTCATATCCTTAATTAATGTGTGAACTAAATCCTTTAATATTTTTGCATCCATGTTTTTTTGTTTTTTTTTCTTATGGTTCAGGTCATAGAAAAGCGTAGTTGTCTCACTTCTTCTTTTGATAAAGTAAAGGACAAAACTGTGTCACTTATAATATGATTTGTTTGTACAGACTGGAGTTAACTTCTTTCTCTAGCTCTTAACAAATATTTATTTAGCTTACTCTTGCTCGACTTAACGTGTAACCTAATTGTGATTCACTACATCCGAGTTCACCTTCAAAGTTACCATTTTGACTAGTTTGTTGGCAAGCATCAATCTGAAAAAAGGATAGAGCTTGGACATCCTCTTAACTTTGTCTTATTTGACGTTTGAATCTTGTCTAATCTCTATGGATTAGTGTGCCGTGATACTTAAAATGAAATTTTCTTGATGCTATTGTTTCTTTGCAATGATGTCATCATATCTCTTCATTCATATGCTTCTCTTTGACAATGATGTACTTGATATTTGCTTGAGATAGAATCCTTCTTGTCTTATAACTTGATTATGTAGGTGCCAAGGAGCTAAAAATTAAGTTTTAGAAGAATCAAAATCACCTCGAGTTTTGGAATATATTTGCATAGTATTGATAACGATTTCATTGTGTTTGCTCTGTACATAAGTTTAGTATTTTTGAATGAAAATAGGGAAGGCAACAAGAAAGTTATTAATCTCTAGCATGAACTTTAATTATCAGTCCCTGTCTCTGTAAAATCTAGTCATAGGTCACTATGTATATCCTTGCAACAACTATTCCCTGAATCTATTTGTCTCTGCTTAGAATTGGTTCATGTATTAACTGGTTTTAGGATTCTCTAAGACAACCAAATCAGTTCTTAGTAGATGGTTATTGTTTTCCTTATCTGCTGCATAGTGGATTCTCAAAGACAACCACAATTATAACTTATATTGTCGTGTTAAATTGACAGCTTCTCTTCATACTGCTCATCTTCACCTTGCTGCAACTAATAATCTGGAAACATTCTTGGAATTTCCATCAGTCTAAAGGTAAGTTTGGATTCTTATAACCATGAATTTGTTTGTGAAATGCCTCATTTTTCTCAAATCTGAACTTGTATTGTATGATTCCATATCAGTTTCTTTTTTCTGTTTTTGTGTTTGTGCAATTGAGCATATTAGTGGTAAGCATATATGTTGAATGTACTAAAGTGAGAACTCTTGTTTGCATACTTGATTGAAAATAAAATGAGGTGAGATAATGATTGTTGTTATAGAAAAGTGATTTGCATCTCATTCTGTAAAGAATGGACTGCAACTGAAACTTGGAAGCAAGTTGTTGTTTATTGACTTGATAAGCAGTAGGAAATAGGAAGAAAAATGGATTATCTTCATAATAAAGAATGGATTCTCTTAAGACAACCACATCAGTTCTTAGTAGATGGTTATTGTTTTACTTATCTGATGCATAGTGGATTCTCTAAGACAACCACAGTTATAACTTATATTGTCTTGTTAAATTGACAACTTCTCTTCATACTGTTCATCTTTACCTTGTTGCGACTAATAATCTGGACACATTCTTGGAATTTCCATCTCTTTAAAGGTAAGTTTGGATTCTTATAACTATGAATATTTCTGTGAAATGCCTCATTTTCCTCAAATCTGAACTTGTACTGTATGATTTCATATCAATTTATTTTTTCTGTTTTGGTGTCTGTGCAGTTGAGCATATTAGTAGTAAGCATATATATATGTTGAATGTCCTAATGTGAGAACTGTTGTTAGTATACTTGATTGAAATAAATGAGGTGAGATGATGACTGTTATTGTAGAAAAGTGATTTGCATCTCATTCTGTAAAGAATGGATTGCAACTGAATCTTGGAAGCAAGTTGTTGTTTATTGACTTGAATAACAGTAGGAAATAGGAAGCAAAATTCTCGTTTAAGTGCACTAATACCACATATTAAATAACTGCCAAGTGAATAAGTATATTGCAAATAACAATATTCATTATTTGTGCATGTAGTTTGTTTTTTTCCCATTCTATGATGAAGTCCTTTTGCTTAAAGAAGACTATTGTTTCATCTTTTCCATTTATCCTTAACTTGTCTCCTACTATCTTGATTGTATTTCCACATTAATGAAATGAAATAGGCCTGCTTCTAGTTGGATTAATGTGCAAATGTGTGCCTATTGTTCTGTCTCTTGCGATAGCTTTTGTGAATGGAAACTAATATAGAGTGTTTCAAGAGATTTTGGAGTATGAAAGTTCATTCTAAAAATTAAAAAGAGAGCTGAAAGATTGTTGCAACAATGAATACAATGTAATTTTTTAGGACTGAAAGGTTTAGTGTAAGTAAATACACTGTATACAAGAAAAGTTATAAGTTTCATTTTACATCATTTTACTTTTGTGCTTTATTATTTTCATTTATCTTGTGTTTAATAGGTTGAGATCCAGAAACTAGTTCAATCTGATTCATCTCTTACTAATACTGAGGTCGTTGAAAAGTGCTTTGGACCTCAATGTAAGAGTCATGTGATTGGATTTGGAGGTGGGATAATAGCTAAGGAGTTGAAAGGTGGTAACTCTTTAAAGGCTGCATTGTTAGATAAGTTGAACGCAAGTGGAAAAGAAAATGAATTATTAAAAAAATGCATGGATGAGTTGGAGAATAAATGTCAACGCATGGATGAGTTGGAAAATAAATGTCAACGCATGGATGATCTCGAGAGCAAATATGAACAACTTGCAAGTGTAGTGTTTGGTGAACCTACATCACCGCCATCTTCCACTGATCAATAGATGAACTAGTCAACATGTTAGTAGATTGATTTTTTTCTCTATGATAAAATGATTCCAATGCTATATGAAATTCTTTTAGTTCAACAGTGGACGTCTAATGGCTCTTCTTTCTTCTCCTTATGTGGTGGGCTTATTACTTGTTGAACCTCAGAGGATGTGTCCCCTTAGATTGTTGTTGCATCAGTAAATCTACATTGATACCCCTCCGCCTTTACTATAATGTTTATTTCTATTTTCCTTTTCTTTCGAATTCTTTCCCTCTCTTGGTGTTTCAGCTGAAATAAGGTTGTAAAGTTTAATGGTTGTTTTGTATATGTAGATGAATTGTATGGTGTTCTTTTTGATTGGATGCTGCTCTTTGAAATATTTGTGTCTTAATGTCCTTGAATTGATGTCTCTTTATTACCATGAGAGTGTGGAAATTCTGATATGAGAGCATTGTAATTTATCTATGTTTATGAGTTTTCTCCCTTCATTTATCATTTCTTGAAACCCATGTGTTATACATTTCATCTAAAGCCTGGTTAGCTAGAGTGTCTTGTAGTTTATTCATTTTCCTCATAATGTGGTATATCAATGGTTGTCTAGCTACTAGAATATGAGGAATCTCATTCTATGCTCCATGTTTTGTATCATTTCCCTTCCATCATAATTTTTAGGAGCACTAATTTTGTCTATAGAGTCAAATTCCTGTAGTTTGTTTGTTACAGTGTCTACAAGACTTGGATTGCCTTAGCTTTTGCCTATGTATTAGTAGTCTACTCCAGCTATAGTGTCTACAAGCCTCTAGTATTGCCTTAGCCTGTGTATTAGTAGTCTACTCCATCTCTGCTTCTTTTGTATAAAGTAGATCAGCCTAACACAGAAGCCTCTGCTATTTCCATAATCTTTCTATAACTTTTTTTTTTAGAATATTTCATCTTTCTATATCATTTTCACTTCCCCAATACTGTCTTCTTGATATTGGTTCTGTTTTATAATCATAATTTTGATCATTTTACATGCCCTAATCTGTAGCACTGCATGTAATTAAGAAAAATAATTTATCTTCCGTTGTTTATACAAGAACGTAGATTTATGTGGACGAACAACTGTCATTATCATACTTTTTGTGAGAAGAAGATAGGCTCATAAAGAGCAGAGAAACTAATGCTAACTGTGATAGTTTCTGCTCATGTATTACGTCTCTTATACTCTTCAATTGTTGTATTAGTATAGCTGTAATGAACCTTGATAATGCTAATTGACTTTTTTTGTGTTCTGAAATTTTATACTTCCATAGCACCATACAGTAGTACTAGTAGTGTGCAGCAACAGTAACCATATCTAACCCTCTTCCTAATTACATTTTGAACTTGCTGCATAACATGATTGGTATTCACATTTTGTCCTTGAAAATTCTTCTTGTTCATGGCAATCCAGATATTGTAAATAGTAGCTCCGTACACGGCTTCCATAACCTCCTTGAATCTATTGCAATTCTTCACTTTAATCTGCAATAATACACCATCCACACATCTGTTTTGTACTCTGAACTCAATCCAGGTTTGTATTGCATCACATACTCTCTTCAGCCAATGACATTTAGAGAAGATATGTGTTACATCCTTTAGCCAGTTCCCATCACACAAAACACAAGTATTATTATCATACAATATGCCAATTCTCACCAGTCTCGCCTTAGTTAGCAGTCTGCCACGAACAACTAGTCATAGTATAAACCTATGCTTTGGTAATGCAATCCTATTCCATATCAGTCCAGTAGTTGGGAGCACTGGTGCATCACCTATTATGTCCACATAATCCCTGGATATTGATTATTTCCTATTAGCAGTTAGACAATAATTGTTTTCATTAGGATATTGATTATTTCCTATTAGAAGTTAGACAATAATTGTTTTCATTAGGATATTGATTATTTCCTATTAGCAGTTAGACAATAACTGTTTTCATTAGTGAGCCATACTCTGTTTTAGTTTGTGCAGTTGTTTTCAGTACAATTACTTGTTATCAAACTAATACACTTCTTTTTTTTACAGCTCAAGAATTTCAAAGTGAAGAACTTATCATTCAAGAAAGTAAGGAGCAAGTTGAAGTTCACAAGGATTTTAAAAGACTATCTTATGCATATATATGTTGCAAATTTCATTTTTTTAAATTAGGAGTTGATATACGCAATTTGGATATGGGATATATAACTTTCTTTAGAAAATCAATGATGATGTTTTATATCAATTTAATTTTTATTTTATTTTTGGATGTGTGAAATTATTGTTAATATTATTAGTTTAGTCGTACAATATTCATAAAATCAGAAATTTAGATGTGGTATTTTAGACTATTTTATGAATGGCTTATCGAAAATATTTTGAAATGACCATTAGCGACGAAAAATCTCAACAACATACAATTAACGAAAGGTGTTTTGGTTGTTAAAAATACATGTATTGGTTGGATGTGAGTTGCTCCTAATGATTTTTAACAACCGGATTTTTTAATTAGCGTAGGGAAAGTGCAGTCGCTATTGAAGGACATATAGTGACTGGACTTTATGTCGACGTTAAAAGTTTATTTAGCGACCGGACAGAAACCTGTCGCTAAACTTTTAACGTCGGAGCTTTTAACGACGGGCGACGACCGGATTTATTCCTGTCGTTAAATACCTTTAACGACCGGATTAAGACTTATAACAACCAAATGTCCCCTCGCTAAAGGTCATTTTTCTTGTAGCACAGACCGTGGTCCTACCTACTGTCCATAGGTCCTGGTGTGGATCGACCCTTAGCTGAAAATTTCTGGGTTTCTATGGAAGGGCCGCAGGTGGCTAACCACGGACCCCACCTACGGTCCGTGGGTCAACATACGGTCCATAGGTGGCCCCATTGGTTTTCTGGAATTTTGCATTTCTGGTTTTCTAGAGTACGGGGTGTTATAACCCATTTCTTAAAAATCTATAAAAAAAAAACAAATTTTATTTAAGTTTTAATTTAGTTAGATTTTCATAAAGTTTTATCTACCAAAATCCCTGCATAAACCTTGATTTTTCATACCTTTTTTTTGTAATTAAATTTGATATCATGGCTCATTTTGTTCATTTATACTCCAAAACAGCAAGACCTAAAATTGTGCCATTATAGCCCAAATCTAAAAAAATGTTTGGATAACACAAAATAGGTTGATCCACTTTCTATATCAAACCCTACCCTAGATATTTCATTCCTTGAGCTAATATTTTATAAATCCGCCTCTCTAGTTTCTCATACCTCCATTCTTGATTTTTTTTTTTTTTTTTTTTGTTTTTTAAATCTTAATGGAGAAAAATATTGAGGAGAATCCACTAGGTTCACCTAATAATGAAACTCCAAGAACTAAAGAATTTGGAAATCAGAATGTTTATTTTTCATCAGTAAAATTGAAGTTGAAGAAGAACAAAAAGAAAAGGATTTAAATTTGGATGAACCAGTTCGGGTTGAATCCTATTCATTGGTCACTTGTGTTGATTCAAATTGAATGGGTTGTATTGTTTCTTATGAATCAAGGGTGATTAGAGCACATGAGTCTCCTAAAAATTCAAAAACACCACAAAGGCTGCAACTAAAGTCAACACTATTGGAGCTCTTCCCTGTTTCTCCTACCAATTATGTTTCAACTCATCTATATATATGGAAAGTGGTATCCACATCAGGCCAACTTGACCTACTAATCGAACCAACCTTTCCCTCCCCATAAGAACTTGTGATTGACCCAGATCATCCTTACATTGAATCGCGATAGACTGTGCATGTAGGTTCAAGGGAGTGCTTCTATCTCTCTCATCAAGAATCAGGGACATTACATTCTTTCATTATTTGGGTGCTTTTCTTTATTTATGTATGATGAGATATTGTTTAAAGCTTATGCCTAGCTAAACTGGTATAATGGTTTGAATAACAGTGTCATGTTTTAATGATTTAATATGTGCTTTTGCCAGGCTTAATCTTTCAATGTTACTAAATTGCTTTTAGTTATTTTGGTCCTATATTTCCATTATGTTACTACCTATCTTGCGACCTGCGGTTCGTTCCTTAGCAGGCTTTGCTCTCTAAATAATCTTTCAGGGCGTGATTCAATATTGGCAACGGATAAGAAAAAGATTTTAAAAATAGGGAAAAGGGGAATTCAAAAGCAATCACTAGTCATGAATTGTACAATTTTCGTATGCTTTTGTGATTTACGCTGCCGTCATTAACTTTTGTATTTTTTTAGAAGTCATTTAGTTCAATTGAGTTTGAGACTAGATGAAGACCTTGTTGGTTTCTGATTCCATGTGTGCTGAGGTTTTCAAGTATTTTGAGTGTATGAATATAGTCTAGAACATCACCAAAAATGTGATTCAAGGAGAAATCCACGATATATATTGGCTTGGAACATAAACCTAGTCCCTCTTTGACTATCCTCTTTGACCAAATTTTCCTCGCGCCACCTTAATATTAATCCGAGTGAACTTTATTGAGCATTAAGTTATTTCTTTGGTCACCTTGACTACTACTAATATTGCTATTTCCACATTATATAAACATGTGAGATCGATATGTCAATGTCAAGACTCGAGCCTACACCCTAGACGTGGCCGGCACTCGAGAACTAATGCTGGCACTCAAGCGAACCCTTATCGTGACTTACTACAAGCAGAAGACTAACTCCAGTATACAAAAGAATCAAATTAAAAGAAACGTTTAAAAACAGTTTACTGAATCTCAAAACTTCGACGAATATACTAAGTATGAAACATAAGTTTCAAATAGAATATCTGAATCTAAAAGTGTCACGCCCCAAACTTGAGGGGCGCAACTGGCTCCTAATGCCAAAACTCAGGCCCGAGCCGACCCTGCTGAATCATTTGGTACTAGCGCATGGCAGCCTCACACAATCAAGAAAACAAACAAGTATATCTCGGCTTAAAACTAAGCCCTCGATCGGCAAGGCCCCTATCAACTAATCTATAAAAGAAACAGCTACTCCCAAGAGATCATATAAATAAATAGCCAACTAGCACAGAAGTCCTGATTGGGCCGTCGAGGCCACCATGATATCTATACCAAAACTAAAAACAGGTATATATCAATAAAATACATCACATAACTCACAAGCTTCAACAAACCAACAACATAGGCCAGTATGGCCATAACGTAGCTATACACCTGACACACTAGTCTGCAAGCCTCTAAGAGTAGTAAATATTAGCGGGACAGGGCCCCAGCCTACCCATAAAGATATATACAGGAAAATATAACAAACCTCCCAACTCTGGCAGCTCCGGAGAAAAGGGGCTAGCCAACCAGATAAAAGTCAATCTTGTTGCTGAGGAGGTCTACTCAGTCGTCTGTCAGGACCTGCATGCATGAATGCAGCGCCCCCAAGGCAATGGGGCGTCAAGTAAAAATAATGTACAGAGTATGAAAGGAAATAGACTATGAGGAGGTATCCTGATATACTGGAATAATCTGATAAATAAATCAAGGATAAGATAAGTGTAATGACCTGCTCCTAAATCTAAACTTATCCAAAATAATAAAACAACCTACCCTCTAAGCCCCCATAAGCCTGGCAGGTACAAACAACACACAAAACCACCTACCCAGGCCCCCATAAGCCCGGAAGGTGCCAATCAGCCTATATACCCCTATCGGTACTCCCTCTATCCCCGTAGGTAGTCGCATAGCCCTCTTAGGCATTAATATAACCCCTTAGGCAGCACATAACTCTCTTAGGCATCAAC